GCCCTTGTCTCGGCACAGCTTTCCGCCCGGCACCATGAATGTATGCATAAGATACGAACTTTGTGCTTCATGCATTGAACGCGGCGCCGCCGCAGCCGCCGATGCCGATAAGCGGCCGAAACTGCGGACGGCTCCGCGTCTACGGCGCAGATAGACGCTTTATCGCCTAATCGCCGTCAACCGGCGTGCCCTGCGTCTCCGGGGAAAAAGAAGATCGAAAGCGCGACTCTTCCCGAGTAGAACGGCGTTCGGTTCGCGGAGAAATTCGCAAAATTGCGGATTCCGCGTTGGAAACGCCGAGCGTCTGTTCGGATTTGCGCGAAACCGGACAGCGCTCGGGAAAATTAAGGTTTAATTATGATGCGGTGTCAGGATCGGTTTGAAAAAATTACGACGTGTTGAGGAAAGATTCTTTCGGATGACAAATTTTGTCCGAAGTCTGTAACCTTTTCCGTTTTTCAGAGAAAAATTGTGATGGACCAACTTGTCGCGCGGTCTCGCATTTCGGATGGGAAACTCGTCGAATAGATGACTATTTCCCGCTTTCGCTACAATGATATCGCTCTGATATTTTTTCTATAAGATTTAGCATCGTTCTGGATGTTTCTCCTGCAACCTCCGATTTTTTATTTATCCGGGAACCTGATTTTTCGACTATTTCCGCTTTTATTTGTGAAGAAAATTTGTTCTCAGTCGCGTCTCCGAAAATCGGCCTGAACTGCCACTTTGTTAACAACAACAGCCCTTTAAAAAAATTGTAGATACTCTACGATGCGGCAAGAAATATCGTGCAAAAAGGCGGGTCCTTGCTCTTCACGATTCTCTCGGAATTAATTCGAAAAAAATCGTATCGATCTCGTTCGATTCGAACCAACGTTTCTTCCGATGCTGCGAAAGTTTCTCCGACAACAAGTGGTTACCGGTTTTTCATCGTGTCAGAGAACCGTTGTATGGACGATGCCGCCGGTGCCTTTGTGAAGATATACGGAGCGCGTAAACCGAAGGTGTGAGCCCGCGGCCGCAAAATTAATATTCGGCGAGCCATTCAAGCCGGTAGAATTAGTGGTTGAACTATAGGTACTGCCCGATTGTACCACTGGATATAGGGAGGAGGAAGTAGATCCAGCGAGCGTTAATTCTATCGTCTCGCCCGATAGACGATTACAACTTATGCAACTTCGACGTTGCCGAGGTGATCGGCAACTTGTTCGCTGCCTCGTTACCATCGACACTTTGATAGCGTTCGCGAAGCATTGCTTTTTACGATCGATCTCGGCCATTTCGTCGACGATCAATTATGCCGCGAGACGCGGCGCCGGCATGATCAGCTGCTCATTTTTCGTTTGTTTGTTAAATACGAGCCTGCGCGAACTTCACGATTCTCGCTCTTTACCAATTTATTTGTTCGTTCACAATGGAGGACGTTCGAGATCTATCCGAGGAGATACGAATATTTGAGCTTTGGGGTTCGTTTTTATTTCTATTATATACATATATTATATATATTTATTACTATTATTATATTATACTATATTATATTATATTATTACATTGTATTATTGTTATATTATATTATTATTATATTGTATTACTGTTATATTATATTATTATTATTATATTGTATTATAATTATGTTATATTATTATTATATTATATTATTATTATATTGCATTATTGTTATATTATATTATTATTATATTGTATTACTGTTATATTATATTATTATTATTATATTGTATTATAATTATGTTATATTATTATTATATTATATTATTATTATATTGCATTATTGTTATATTATATTATTATTATATTGTATTACTGTTATATTATATTATTATTATTATATTGTATTATAATTATGTTATATTATTATTATATTATATTATTATTATATTGCATTATTGTTATATTATATTATTATTATATTGTATTACTGTTATATTATATTATTATTATTATATTGTATTATAATTATGTTATATTATTATTATATTATATTATTATTATATTGCATTATTGTTATATTATATTATTATTATATTGTATTACTGTTATATTATATTATTATTATTATATTGTATTATAATTATGTTATATTATTATTATATTATATTATTATTATATTGCATTATTGTTATATTATATTATTATTATATTGTATTACTGTTATATTATATTATTATTATTATATTGTATTATAATTATATTATATTATTATTATATTATATTATTATTATATTGCATTATTGTTATATTATATTATTATTATATTGTATTACTGTTATATTATATTATTATTATTATATTGTATTATAATTATATTATATTATTATTATATTATATTATTATTATATTGCATTATTGTTATATTATATTATTATTATATTGTATTACTGTTATATTATATTATTATTATTATATTGTATTATAATTATGTTATATTATGTTATTATTTTATTGTATTATTATAATATTATATGTATTATATTGTACTATTATTATATTATATATTATTATTGTATTCTATTATTATATTATATTATTATTACATTGTATTACTGTTATATTATATTATTATTATATTGTATTATTATTATATTATATATATTTTATTACTTTTATTAAATATTATATTCGTATCTATCTTTATTTATTTACCGATTGTCAACAACTATGAAAACGAGCCGCAAGGCTTGATTAATCATGCCTCCTCCACCCAAATTGTCCATTTATCATAAAAAAAAGGGAAACCGGTTTCACAGTAGAAGACGAAAGAAAAGAATTGACCGAACAAATACATTCACGTTCTCTCTCTCTCTCTCGCTCGCTCTCGCTCCGTCACTCACCGGCAGCGCAACATGCATTGTCTTTAATTATCGGCTTTTTCGTCGCAGCTTTTAATGCCCTTTGCCGGGCGTGGAAAAAATTAAACGAAACAGGAATCGCGAGTCGGCCGAGTGGGCCTCCGAGGCGAAAGTCGAACTCGTTTCGCGTAATTAACGACATCTATAGTTGGCCCGTCACCAATTATAGCCGCGCCGCGGCCGGGGGTCCCCTCTCGTTATTCCGTCGTTGCCGTCGTTTGGGAGTCATGCCGGGGACCCAACAACCGGTTGACGTTTTAGTATCGGGCACTAACGAACGGCCGCGTATGAACAATGAACCGTAAAATGCAATTAACCGGTAACGACGCACGCGGATTACTTAAAAACGGGGCGACGATTGATGAATGAGCCGGCAACGTCCACGACGACGACAACCACAACGACGACCACGACGTCTCACGCTACTTTTACCACCGTTCATCGACGACCGCACTCCGCCTCATTATTTCCCGGCCACTTTTTACGCCGGCCATTATACTTTCGATTTTCTAATTACTCCATTGTGTATAGAATTCATTCTAGCCGCGAGAATGCTCGCGGCCGGACGATCGATGACGGTCTTCTCTTGGCACCCTCCTTGGCCCACCCGACGGCGAGGCGTCCGTTACGTCGCCGAACGCTTGGCGATCAATTAAATCCGTTCGATTCGATCAATTTTTAATTCCTTCCTTCTCTGTTCGATCGGTCGGACCGGAATAACTCCGGCGTTTTGACCATTTTCGCGGCAAGTGACAGGTACGGTAATAATGTCTTTCTAATTGACGCTCAGATCGTCTAGAAAAATGGATAATTTAGATAGAGAAGATACAATTGTTCGATCATTTTTATAGTTACGAATTCTCAACAGCTATAAAAATGAGCTGCAAGGCTCGAATAATCGTATCTCTTCTTCCTAAATTATCCACTTTTCTGCATAATCTGAGCGTCAGTAAGGGAGTCATTAGTGTAATCTCCAGGTACAGTAATGTCTCCCTTACTGACGCTCGGATTGTCCACGAAACTGGACAATTTTCGAGCCTTTTATAATCGTTGACAATTCGTGACTGTAAAAACAAATCGCAAAACTCGAATAATTGCATCTCCTCTTCCGAAATTGTCCATTTCTGTGGACAATCTGAGCGTCAATTAGAGAGACATTACTGTATATCGTATTATCGTATATATATACGATAAATAAATAAGTAAATAAGTAAATAAATAAATAGGTAGATAGATAGATAGATAGATAGATAGATAAATAAATAAATAAATAAATAAATAAATAAATAAATAAATAAATAAATAAATAAATAAATAAATAAATAAAAAGGTCGTTCCGAGCGACGCCGTTGAAAACCGAGATAGAAAGCACATTAACCGAAAAGCTCGTCGACACGTGATCACCGAAACATGCGTGAATAAAGCCGGCAAATGCGACGGTGAAATTCGATAGTTTTTTTTTCGGTGAAAAATCCGCGGAGAGAAAGTCAAACGAAAACGCAATTTAGCGGAAGAGAAAAGGGAGGAGGGGGAGCAAGACGGTTTGTCAGGGTTTATTGCCGGGCCGATTGAAAACTGCTATTATAGAAGGATCCCCGACAATAGGTGGTTTTTCCGTGGGTCAACAAACTCGACTTCCGGCCAACGAGCTAAGAGTCGCTTTATTACGCGTTGTATTTGGTAAACGCCGGGCGTTCCGCACGCGAACTACTTAAAGTTTGACGCTCCGCGGACTTCAACGGCGTGCTCCGCTTCTTCATAACGAACTTTACGGCGACCGAATTCACGCCCGCGCGCGGCACGCGGAATGAAAAATGGATGCCGCCGCGGATGGCGAGCCCGCGCTGGCCACCGAAACAGAAACCGCCGGAAATATAGCAGCCGAATCGTAATTTTCGTTCGATCGCGTCCGAATTCGTAATTCCAGTCCGCTTACATCGTAATTCGTATAATCTCGATTTATTTGCATTAATATTTCATTTATGGGAACTGCGATAATCAATAGTTTTCATCGATTTATCGTTTTCAACTTCGAACATTTATAGAGACCGTAATAATGACGGTAGCGAGGCCAGCCTTAGCTCGGTGTATCGGCCAAAGATCCCCCTAAACGGACGTATATTTTGTTTCCAGATCGCCGACTCATCTCCCGCACTGTCGTCGCAAAAGTGGTTGACTCTCATGGCAGCACGGAGTCTCGCAGCCTTCCTCACCGCAATTCTACAGCTTTGTTTATGTGAGTCTGTGTTTATTGATATTACCTAAGCACTTATTAATCATGCTCGGACCTGGGCGAAGGTATTTGAGACAGTAGTGGACGGTAGTTTCGTGGAATTCTTTTATGAAATAATATTTCAAGATTTCTAGTTCCAAGATTCTATAAATGACTCGTTCCTACTTTGTCCGATGTAAATTGTTGCAGCTTCTCCGAAAAATTTTTTCGATAAAAATGAATTATGCACAGGGAAAGTAGAGATTTCAGGCTTAAAAATGAGCATAGTTTCATTGTTGTACGATTTTTCTTGACGGAGTTATAGCATCTTGAATATCATCAATTTTTCAAAAATTCGAAATTTTGTGTGAAATCTAGTACGAGCTGTCCCATTCGCCATATCGTAAATCAATTTTTTTTAAAGAAGCTGTCTGACGTTTTCTGAAAGTAGACACTTCGAGCTTTAAAATGAGCCTAGTTTCGTTGCTGTACGATTTTTTTGCACAAAGTTATAGTTGTTCGAATATCAACAACTTCTTCGAAAATTTGAAACTTTGACGAAACTACTCTCATCCACCGTGTTGCAAATAAATTTTGTTAAAGAAATCGACCAACGGCCTCCGAAAGAAGATACTTCGGGCTTTAAAATGAGCCTAGTCCCATCGTTGTATGATTTTTTTGCACGAAGTTGTAGCCGTTCGAATATCAACAACTTCTTCGAAAATTTGAAACTTCGATGAAAGTCGATCTTGCGCGCAATCTGAATGCGAATTAGGAAGAGCTTGTTCCCAAGGCTCTTGGCACTCTATCCACGTGGGAGAAAAAACTCCGGCCGTCTTCGCCGGCCGAATTCGTTCCCGTGATCGGGCGATCGGAAGCGGCGGCTCGATGAAATTCGATAAAGAAGTCGGCGGCGCAGTCGGAGAAACAAAGAACAATAATAACACGGCTAAACGATGGGAACCCGGACGGCTGAAAGAGGCAAATTGAAAGTTCGTGTACGCGATTCCATCAACTTCCGTCGGCTGACTTCCATGAGAAAACCGCAGATGCACCGGGCACATTGAAAACCTACACGCGCTCTTCCCAGGGAAAAGTAAAACTTGATTTTGTCACTCGAACCGCGATATCGCGCCGGAAATTATCGATTGATCGAAGTCTCGGGCGGAAGCCGGACCTCCTCGATGCCGTCATTTTGTTGAATTCGAATCGTTTTTAAACAGAGACTTGAAATCATTCGATTCTAACTTATTGTCAGATTCGCGAAGATAGACGTCTTAAGAAGGATCGGAAATCGATACGATTCCGATCGATATCGAGAAGTCTCATCAAAGTGTGATTTTTTATGACGTGGTACACGGATAATTAAGGGGGGTTTAAGTCATCGCATCGCCGAATTCGTATTTGTTTAAACAATACGAGTCGTCAAAGACCGTCGATCTTCGAGAAATTTCGCGAAACGTGAGACTTTGAAATTCTTATCTCGGCAATCGTTGATCACGAATTCGATTGAAAGAAAAATAGTTTACAATAAGTCAAACCCTGTGCATTGAACTATAAAAAAGCCCAACTAAATTCGTCGAACAGCATTCGAGATAAAAATTCCCAAATCGATGAGCCAATCTATCCAAACTGTCGCGAGGCAAGCGCCTCGATCTTTTCAAATGTTACTTCAAATATCATAATATAATGTCGCTAAAATATATACCATTTCACTCGGGAGAGTCCAAAGAACGATTCCGTGTAAAGATCGTCCGCGTAACTTTCGCGGTTAGGTCAGGAAAAATTCTCAAAGTTGAGAACTATCGGACAGCGTTATTCGTATCCTTCGCCGGTGGCGGCGATCAACGTATTAATTTTTTAAGCGACTTTATACGGTTGCAATGCCGTGAAAAAATACCGCGTCTCGCTCGGGAGAGCGTGAGGGATCGTTTCGCGTTAAGATCCGCCGGGTAAGTTGAACGGTTGGATCAGGAAAAATCCGCGAAGTTGCAAACTGTCGGGCGCCGGCATTTGTACGTTTCTGGTCGGGGTTCGCGATAATCAAGCGGCCCCATAAAACAGAGCTTCGCCGGGAGATCGATGTTAGCGGCCTTGGGAATCGAATTAAGCAAGGAACTCGGTTTATTGTTGACGCGTTCATAAGATCCGACGGTAGCGGGGGCGAAGGGGTGCGCGGCGTAGGGGTTCGGGGCGGCGGTGCGGCCTCCCGGCCTCGAATCTCTTAGCCCGGCGTATATCCGCGTTGCGGTAGAATGGCGCCGCAACTACCCTACAAGGGCAATACATCGTGGTAGTCGGGTGTAGGGGAGTTTGTAGAATCCACTTAAATCCGGTGTGATTTAGTTGGGCACGCGGCCCCTCGGACTGAATACCGGCCTCGCCCGGTAAGTAACAGAACCTCAAGGCTTTTTAGACTGATAGGAACGGTTAAAAAGCTATTCGCCACGCCGCTACTTAGTTATGCCGGATAAATCCGCAGGCGGCGCGTCCCGGCGCGTCCCGACCTGCTCCTACGGATCGCGAGAAACTGAATTTCAGGATTTACCAAGCACGCTTTTAACGGAATACAATTATCTCGGCCGAAAGAAACCGGACGAGCCACGTGCACGCCTTTCCCGGCCGCGCTAAACCGTTTAAGCGTCGGACAAACGTCGTTCGGGGAGCCCCCGGGATGCTTCGGTTTCTTCGATTGATATTTGAATCCGGCTACGCGGGCTTCGCGGGTGCCATATTGCAGTAATTTCTCCCGGAATTGCACGGAGCTCGAAAACCGGCAGATAAGAGAATATCGAGCCACGATTCTTCGGGCCTCGCGACACCTTTTCGTGGAAACTCGGGGCAAAAAATAATTGTACGATAATCTACACTATCTAGATCGATTCAGAAAAGCCTCTACTATAATCTACCCTAAATCATTTCCAACGAAAAATATCTTTTCGTCAGCGAAAGCGAATTTTTCGCCATCGGAAGCTCTGATACTCCCTGGAAACTCTGCATTCGAACGTCTCTCCAGGATCTGAAAAATTTTTCCCGCGATTCCGATTAACACGGTCTTCAAGATTAGAGTCTCCTCTTTCGAACGACGTCAAAGTTTTCGATCCACGATTTTTTCTTCCCTCTTTATCGCGGTCCGAAGCGACCGAAGACGACGTCGCGGAAAATGAATTCCGACAAATTTTCGATTTTAATTCGAATCCCGTTCAGTCAGAGCTACTTCAGGATTATGTCAAGCTTGTGATCGAAAGATCAAGGTTTTCATTAAATCCTAAGTGATATTGTGCAATATTATCACGTGATTCGTCTCCGCTACTTTGTCGAAAGCCGCGAAGCGAACGTCGCGAAAATGAATCTCGTAACATTTTCGATCTTAATTCCTAATTTAATTATCACGCAGACCGACGCAGTTCTAATCAAGAGTTCCTATACTTATCATAGTTCGTTTGATCGATCCGTCGGTCATTCTTCCGTCCGCACGTGGCGGCGTGTCTCAATTCGCGGGGATCCGGATCGCCGCGATATAAAGAATTTTTGCAAACTCAAGGAGCTCGTAAATTTTACGAGAAACGTGCTGGACGGCTCTGCGAGGGCTGCTGACGGCTTACCAGACCGCTGTTCGACTCGCGAACTTCCGCGCGTTAACCGTCGGACCGCGTTCCCGTAGCCGTGATTGCCCGGGAAAACGGACATTTAAACGTAATTTTTCGTGGAGCCCGCGTAAATCATCCGGCGCCGTCATAATTTCGCGGTTGCGTCGCTCGTTATCGCCGCGCGTGCACGGCGTACCCGAATGGGGCATGCTGCTCGATAATGTAGAGGAGCCGACGCACAGCCATGGAATCACGGGATTTTGATTGTTTTTTCATTTTTGTCGGAGACATTTTTTTTTTTTATTTTCGTCGCGGAAAGATTATCGATCCTTCGCGGAACGAGCCGATGCGACTGGAGACAAAGGACCGGTGACGTTGATTGGTAATTAGCGGTCTCAGATGCTGGCGAATATCGACCGAACGAACTATGATGAATCTATGATTTTGGGGTTGAAACTGCGACGATCGAGAGAAAATGATCGAAGCGAGGAATCGAAACGAAAATGCACGGATTTTTGCATCCGACGCGAGTCTCCACTTCGAACAATTTTTAATCATGTTTCCTCGTGGATGATGCAACGCGAAACTATATGGTTCTATTCGGCAGAGAACGAGGAATATTTTCGCATACATTTCAATCGCCTGATCGTCGTTATTATCGAGCGGTATAATGTCAAAGTCGAAAGTCGACGCTCGTCTCCGCGATTCGAACGATCCCGGAAACTTGAACGTATTATTTATTCAAATGATCGTCGTCGACGATACGTTATCGACAGTTTTCAGAGACGTTTCATCGACAGTTCTATAACCAAAACGTTGGCCAGCCAAATTTCGTAAGAGCGATATTTCAAATAGACGGTGTCACGCAGTTTTCAGTTTTCGAAAGTTCGGGATTAGATTGATCAAAAGTTAGGCCGAACTTCGCGGAGCATAACTATTGAATTAGATATTAGGGAACTGGGATATAGGAGTCTCTCTAGTCACGGTGTGATCACAGTTCGCTCATAATGCGGCCGAATAGTACGTCGGAGCGTAATTGAACCGTGAACAGTCACGGCGACTTGATTAGCGTGCAATAACGTTCCACTGTTTCGTTACAGTGTCGTATTGCGCCCGATCGATTCCCATTATTCCCCGATACAGTCCAATTCCCATAATCGTTCGATCGTTAAAGTACAAATAATTCATTCGAGCGATTAACTATGCAACTCGAAAGTGTCCGACGAGCAAACTCCGACCTCTATGCCACGATTCGCGAAAAAAAGAAAGAAAAGCAGGTTATACAGTAAATTCTCTGTAATTGACGAGAGTGGACACGAGAGTGGACAATTTGGGAAGAGGAGACACGATTATTCGAGTCTCGCGTGCCTTTTTATAGTATTTGACTGAATAACTAACTAGAAAGACGAGACTTCGACTTTTGCCGAAGAAATT